TTTAGAGACGAGGGAACATGTATTAGTCTACATGATTATACTTTTTTTTTTTTTTTTTTTACATAGAATTCCAAGGTAAATCTGTTCAAAAACAGATAAAAATCATGCGACCCGAGATATCAATAAAATATTGAGAGAATCATTTATTTTACCATAATCGTTACAACGAAACATAAGTCTATAGTCTTGACTACAGGCTATTTTCTATATGGAACATCGAAAAAGTTTGTTTTTCACCTAACTTTCGTAAAACATATAACATGAAGATAAGTACTCCACTACAATGTTTAAAGAAATTTATGATCATGTAAAAGTATTTCAACATTCTTAAGATTTAGGCACTGTGATATTTTTTTCATGTCTTTCAAACAAATCACATATCATTTTTCATATTGCCAATAGAACACCTTATATATTTGCTTCACAATGAGAGCATTCAAACTCATGTCGAAAATAATATGTGACTAATCTGAACAAAATATAAGGATATATAAGAGGTAAAGACTAACACTTTGCACATAATTCTAAATATGTTTAAGTGTTATAATAGAAAACTTATACTTAAACGATGACTTTTAGGAGATTCAAATTTCACACATATTTCTTGAGTCGAAAATGGTGTTGCTAATAATTTGCTTCCATTCATTTCAAAGACCTATTAGCCAACAAATTTCGCTGATTTTTATCCGATTAGACTAAAGTGTATGAAATGAATTGATTGAAGCTATGGATTAGGATCACGTAACAACAAAAGTACAATTGATTGACCGAGTAAAACTAAAATGTAGCTGCACTTTGATGATTTCGACTGGTGGATCCGTGGTTTTTCCAGAGTTCATGCCGTAAAGACGCTGCTGACAGCCGGAGTACTCGGGCGAATAGTAGGAGTTTGGAAACAGGAATTCAGTGATCCAGTCAGGTGGCTCGATTATTCTAGTATTTGTTGTTGTAACCGACTGTAACCGGGCTGAGGCGGCTACCGGATTTCTACTTCGTAATTTCACCAGTTTTTCGGTTGGAAACAGTACCTATTTATTTGTCTAAGCCATTTTGTGCACAATTTCAAGTATGATTTTTTCATTAAAAAAGGATTTCCAAATGAAAGGATGATAACGTAGAAATTTTGGAAAGTTCTAAGAAGGCAATGGATTCTTAAGCAAAGATATCATATACATTTAAATTAAAAAAACTAAACAAAATTTACAGAAAACCACTATTAATAACAAAAATAGTCTTTATTCGGACTTGGTTTCATTTCTCTAACCAAGAATGATTTATTTCGAAAGCTATTAAAAAAGTTTCACAATAATGCACTAAAGGAAAGAAAAAATTGGTAGAAGTTCTATTAATAAAAGTAATCGTAATCTTCGTTCAGCAAACGGAAGATGTAAGTAATTCTTCAGTTGTATATTGTTTTCAAGAAAGCATGCAAATAATTAAATTTAATGTAATTAATTGTCGCCAGCCAAACCTCGATGATCCATAATTAATACTAAGAAAAAATAAATAGCATTCGGTACCTGATTTGAATAGATTTTCAAATCATATTTGACCGGTTTCCAAAACAACAATCGAGCACGAGACTGAAATTGAGCTAATAATTCATTTGACTTTTTATCATAAACTTTTACGTTTTTCGAAAAGTTGCTCAATTTTGCAATTAATTGCTGTTTATTAAATTGAACTGTGTAATCAGTAGAAAACATATGAGCATTTCTTTGTATAAATCCGTCTGTCCATTTATGTAACTTTGAATCATAAAGAGAAAATGTAACGTTAACTAAGTTTTCTATCCATATACCTTCAAGATTAGCCATTATGTTCTTTTCAAAATTATCAACAAGTATAGCACTATCCATATCCCTCGACGAAATTCTTATTCGATATAAACATGTTTTTTCTTTTGAATCGAATACTCTAAATCCATACATTGGTTTTCCAGGACTTGTTGCATTTCGTACAACTACATAAATACGTTGAGCTTTTTTCGCTTCAGTACATTTAATCAGAAGAATAAATAATAATAAACAACAAATAATCTTCATGATTATGATAGACTAAATGTAGATAAATTTTTCTGTCTCATATTATATCAACCTTCTAGAAGTTAGATTGTCATCAACTGTTACATTGATATCAACACTTACTGATTTAATTATTCAATATATCATAAACATAAGAGATAAGTACCGTTTGCACGGTTTTATCTGCATCCTCTCATTTAAGGAGAAAGTTTTTTTTGACATTCCATGAGTGCAAGCACATACCTTTTTGGACTATATCATACAATAAGCACAAATTCTGAGAAGGGTCAACTCGATTTTCGAAGCAGTGGTATTTTTTTAATGTTCATGCTGAATAAGATATTTAATATGTGATCTAGAGAGAAAAGGTCATTTCGACCAAATAATTTTCACTTAATTGATAATTCAGGATAGAAGGACAGAACGAAATACTAGTAAAAAACAAGAATTACTGATGTTATATCATATGAAGGATACACAAATACTCAATTTGACACCATATTCTCAACAAGATAAATTCGATTTATTATTTAAAAAACAAGGAATTCTTTATTTCTTTCGAAATTCTTGGAAGATCTTTTTTTTAGATTAA